TATTATCAGCAGGAGTGTTAAGCTCTTCCATTGAGTGGGATTTAGAGTTGCTCAGGGACTGCATCATACTTAATTGGAGCTCTTCTGTGTTGTTGCAGCAACCATTTTTGTGGAAATGCAGCATCATGAGCTGTAGGAAACGCTGGCATGTGAAGAATCTAGCTCCAAACAGTTTCGTGTTCGAAGTCATTTTGGCTTTTTAAAACTGACTGTATTCCATATCTTTTCTGATCCTGCTTTTCCTGCTGCTAGATATTGCTGAGTTGAAATCTTGGATAAAACATCAGTTGACTTCAGATTCACAGCAGCAAGCAGGAGCGCATGTACGTGCAGTGAACTATTTTTCCTTGCCTTACAAAGCCATAAAAGATGTCAATATTTAGAGCTTCTTAGCAGCTCTGTCATGGCTCCCTTTCTTTTACCAAAAGCTCTTAAGTGGGAAACTTGGAAGCAACACAAGTTTCTTCTGTCCATTCTGGAAGCTTACATTTTAAAAGAATGCTCTACCTGGATTTTCTTTTAGATGCCACCAGAAATATTTTTGTTTTGTTTAAATTTTTTAATCTGGCTATCAGTTGCATTAGAAATGCTATATTAAGGGCATATTTTTTTCACTCCCAGGATTTCAGCCTAATCCTGTGGACATTTACTCAAGAGGTAAGCCCGATTAAGTCCCCATTGAGTATGATCCCAGCACCTTAAAATTCAGAGTTACTTGTATTTTAGAAGGTGAGAGCAAAGCTATTTCAAGGAAGACTTTCAAAGGGATTCTGTCTAAAGTTCCATGGATCAGAACGGACTGTGTGGCTCACTTAGTATCTGTCCCTCAGCTTGAGATGCTATTCTAGGGATCCCCCAGCCTTGTTGAAACTGTGGGCCGAGTAGAGAACAACAGAACAGCTGCCGTGGGGACGGGGGTCCAATCGCTTGGGAGATTCCACAGCATGTTAGAAGGTTCCAAGCCAAGCATTACTCTGTGATGGAGACATATTTTTTCCCCACAAGAGTGCTTCCTGTTGACACAAAGGTGATGCCTCCCGGAGGCCTTCTGAAATGCCTCCTACTTCAGTGAGGTGGAGGGAAGCCAACATTGACTCTTTGCTTTAGGAAAGAAGCAGACAGACACCAGAAAATACATCGCTAGGTGCCATGGTGCCCTTGCGCACCCTATCGGGGATCACTGATACCTACCCTGTCCTGATAGATGCCTTCTGTTACCATCTCATTAAAGGTTCCCAAGACTTTCTAGGTTGTGATGGTCAGAACAGTTGAACGCCTAATGAATATTACTGTTCTGATGCTTGTGCAGTTCTGTATCTCTGGTCTCTTCTTGCAGTTGGTCCTTCTCTGTGACTGTCCACTAATCATCATTAAAAACAGTTATCCACCGGTAATGTTTTCACAAGTACTTTAATATATAGCAGTTTGTAGCAAGCATTCCAAAAAAAAAAAAAAAAAAAGGCCAAAGTTAGTGGGAAAGGCAGACATCTCCGGGTGCTGGGATCGAATTAGGAGCTCTTTCCTCAATATCCTCTTGTGGTTGCCATGGGACTTGGAACCTCTCTGTTGACTTTTTTCACTTTTTCTGCTTTTAGATATGTGCTGGGAACTTTCCCTAGAAGGATTCCACCCCTCTCTCCTTGGGACTACAGTCCCTTTTTGGCTTTTCCTAACTCTTGCTATTCCCAGCTTGCCCTCTACCTCAGCACTCTCAGGTTTGCTTTAGAGGGAGGCCAAAGCTTCCCTTCCTCACACACACAAAACAGGAAAACTGCAAAAGTGCCCTTTGCTCTGTGTACTTTTCTAAATTCTGTCTAAACCTTTGTGCCGTTTAAAAATTTGCTGTGGCACTCTGGTGTGAACAACCCAGCTTGTTTACTCTGGGTTCCATAAACACAGTTTGAAAACCTCTGCTAGTGGGATCCCACTAGCTGCCATGGTACTGTCTGGAAGAGAGGTGGGATTGCTATAGTACACTCGGGGGGACTGCATTTGTTCCTTGGAAGATTTTGCAGCAGGCTTCCAAGGGTGATTAAGAAGAATAGTTAGTACTTTTGGGTTTGGCTGAGAAGATTTTTGTTGTCCCCCGAAGGCAGGTCTCTTATAGCACCAGCTGACCTACTCAGTTTGCCAAGCCTGGCAGCCACTGTGGATGGCACTTAATAGAAAGATGTAGAGTGTCTGTTTCTAACAACAAGAGGACAGTTTTGCACTGGAACAAATACTCAAAAATCCTGAAGGCGCACAAAGATTTACTGAAGCAATGCCTTTTCAGCAAATTGCACTTCTTCAGGGGAAATCGCTAATAGTAATCATGGGAGAAAAAGTTGGAAACTAGAATTGCTCCAATAAATCTTTGTATACCCTTAAACATCTTTGTTTTGCCCTGATAAAGAATTATTTGCAGCTTGCAAGCTTGCATATTCTTCCCAGAGGTGCTCCTTTGGGTCCTGTTGTCGGAGAAAAAGAGGGTTCAGTATTTTAAATCAGATTTTTCAATAACCTACTTTATGTCTCTGATCACTTGGGAACACAACAGCATTTGCTGTCTCCAGAAGTGTCTCCAATGCTGCAGTAAGTACAGGTGGGTTGGGTGAGCTGTGATCCTGTAGAAACAGCTTACTGCCCCTGGCTACAGAAGGCAGCTTCCTGAGAATTCTAGCTTCCTTTTTTAAAAAAAACCAGCAGGATTCTAGCTCTTATAGCTGCAGAGATTTTTGCGTGCCATGCCTGCTTGAAATCTCAGATGCCACAAAAGGGGCTGAATAGGACCTCTACAGATTGGTGGGAGTTCAGTGCCCTGTATAGTTCTGAGACTGTCCTTATGAATCAGTTAGGCAAGATAAGCTGTGCAGATCTGCTTCATTTGCATGATCTATATGTGTTACATCATTCAGCGTCAGGGAAGGATCACATTTGGATTGCTTCGATGCATAACAGTAATGTTTTAATGTTTGGAGTACACCAGGGGTCCCCAACATGGCGCCCATCAACACCTTTTCTGGCACTCACCAAATATTTATAGCAAGTGGGTGTGGCCAGACAGGGCTTTTGCCCAGCAAGGCTTTTGATTGACCACTGAAGATTTGATTGGCTGTGCTGATTTTTTAAAAGGTTGCTTTGGCAGTAGCTGCCATCACAGCACAAGGATCTACACTGTGTCACTGAAGTTAAGCTGTGGTGATCATTTTGTGGCTGTACCCACCACGCTGTGTCAAAATTCCAAATGGGCCCTTAGGCTCAAAAAGGTTGGGGACCCCTGGAGTATACCAGGTCATGGGCCACAGGCCTCTCTGTGTTGAGATGTGATACGTTGGTTTGAGAAATTCTATTCTCTTAGCGTGTGAGCGTCACCAGAGGAAGGAAACAATTGCTGAGGACCGGTCATTTGAATTGTCCCTAGCTAGCTCTGAATCCCTCCACCTTCTACTTTACAGGCATTAATTAGCCCACTAGCTGGGGTGACCCAGATTCATCCATTTCTATGAGAGGAGTCCCTGCCCTCTGAGCCGCTAGAGCTGTTTCTCCTCTTGACCCTTGCAAAATCTCCTGATGACACTTTGGGGGCAGCTCTGCATCCAGATGTATGATCCATTGGCTTTCCCGCATTGGGGGGTGGGGCGGACACCCAGCAATCGGAACTCCTTGAGGTACAGGGGAAAGTCTTTTGGGAGGAAGCTTCTGTTTGGTTTTTACATATGAACTTGAAGCCATAATGTAGCTATGAGTCACTTTCCCTTGCTTTATATTATATTTGTATAGACTGCTTTTTTCCATCGAGTGTACCCAGCGTAACTTGTCTCCAGGGATTCAAAGGGACTACATCCTTTACATTTCCAGTGGCCTAGACTAGGGGTATAAACTTTAAAAAACAAACAAACTAGGGGTGTACACTTTAAAAAAATGTTTTAATTTCATTCTGGCATTTCAGAAAGGGTACGATTACTGTTATCCTAAAATTTCAGGAGCATTGATACATTTGAAGAATACATGTTAAATCTTTTGGACTGGGGGGGTCAGGAATATCAGGTATCAGTAGACCAGTCCTCCCCCCAGAGGCCAAATATACTGCCACTGTTGTTGCATTGAAAACAAAGACAGTAGACCTGACCTTTGGTGTCCAGAT